GCATTTCAGGTCCACCTAGACTGGAGGCACAAGGCCTCTAGGTACCTAGGGCTCTGGCACATGATACTCATCCAGGAAGCTAACAGGATGACCCAGCCTGGCTCCAGCCCCCAGAGGTGGATGTTGCTGGTCTGATATCTGTCCTGCCATGCAGGGCGATAGGGTGGGTGTGGGGTGGGTTTGGATTTAAAACGCTCCCCACATGACTTCAATGTTCAGCCAGGGCCATGGGGAACACTCCCCCAAGGCCGCACTACTTCCTCCAGCTGTGCGGAGAGTACAGAAAGGTCTGGGGGCTGGCCCTGCCGAGCAGAAGGAGGGGTGAGGAGGGGGAGAACCTAGCACCTTGCCAATGCATGTGCATGTCACACATTCCTCCAGTTCATGCCCAGGACGCTTTCTAAAAGAAAAGTCGTGAGCTTTCCGGCGGTAATTAGATCTGCTGCGTTATTTTATTTCCTTGGATAAGATGGGATTAAACATTGTTGTAACAGGGCATTGATACACTGAGCAGCACTGTAATTGGGTTATGTCTCTCCTCCAGTCTGCTACCAGGTAGGCGGGGGAGCTGGCCCAGCCTGTGTGGTTGAGGGGACCCCCTACAGGTGAGAGGCATGAAGAGGCATGCTTGGCTTTGGAAGGGAGCCCTGTGCTCACTGCCAGTTCAAAGCTCAGAGGAAAGGTTTCCTATTGACAGAACGTACTTGCCAGAGGCTGGGGGCGAGTCCCCGTCCTTAATAGAGGTTTGCTTCTTCTGCAGCTGAAGCCACAGTGTTCTTTTTATTAAGGAAAAGTCCCCAAAACCAAACTCACTGCCATCGAGGTGATGCACTCCCGAGAACCAGCTGGTGGTTTTGAACTGCTGACCCTGCAGACTGCAACCCCATGTGCGACCACCACACCACCAGAGAAAACCTCCCACGGTGTTAAAACGAGCAGTGTTAAAGTGAACTGGGCCTTTGCTAAAGTCATCAGGTGGTGTAGCCCCCCGCTGGTAGGACATTGGCTTCGCCCCCAAAGGGAACTCTGGCGGCATTGTGGTTCTGTGTTGGGCTGCAAACCATAAGGACACTAGTTTGAAACCAGCAGCTGCTCTGTGGGGAAGAGATGAGGCTTTATACTCCTGTAAAGAGATACAGTCTTGGAAACCCACAGGGACAGTCCTACCTGCCCTACAGGGTTGCTTTCTGAGCTGGAACCCACCCAAGGGTGAGAAGGAATGCTGTACCCACCCAGTGAGCGCTTAGCCCCTGGTTACCACCAGTTCACATTTTGTGTCTCTGCGTGTTTCATAGAAACAGAGACTTACACTATGTGAACTTCATTCCTGGCTTCTCTAACCCAGGACTCTGGGACACTTCCCCAGGCGTCCCTCCCCAGCACACATAGCTGCTCACATGAGCCTGCAGAGGCACGAGGCAGGGGTTGAGTGTGGGCACCTTCGGCTCTTGTAGGCACCGCCTCAGTTCCCTGCCTCCGGGTCTCTCACCTGGTCAGCTCATCCCATGTGGTCTCGCCAAGTCTGCCTCCTACGACCTGGCTGCTCTGGCACCTGTGGTGGCTCCTGGTTGGCTGGCTGAGGACAGCAAGGTCCTGGCCGCCTGCTGCAGCAATTCTCACCCCCCACCCAGCCCCCACCCCCTGACGCTGCCCAGTGAGTGTGCAGTGCCGGCCCAGCTGACACAGGGTCCCTTCTTGTAGGCATTCACTGCCTTCCCCGCCCGCCAATCCTTTCCATCTGTGGAGCTCAGATCGCTGCTGCCTCTCCCCTCCCTCCAGTCTTTCCGAGCTACTGAGATGAGCCTCCTCTCCGTAGGTGGTTCTGCACAGTCGGGGCCTGCCCGGTGCTGCTACACCTCGGAGGCACTGCTTCTGCCTTGGGGTGGTGGTGGGGTCTATGGGATAGGGGTGATGGGGGAATGGGAGATGGAAGTTTGCAAAGTCCACCCCTAGAGGACCGTTCGGTCTCTGGGCTACTCAGCTCCGGCACTGACGTGCCCACGCACCACAGGCAACACACAAATGGTGACTGTGATTGTGAGCACTGAAGTTTGTACTTTTCATATGCCATCCCCCCACGCACGCCCACACAATCCTTGAGCACATTGATAGCTCATCCCAAGCTCTGGGGCTGTAGAAGGCCAGGCGGTGTGTCAGACTCTGTACGTGGTCATAGTCAGTCATAGCCACAGGCCTGCAAGTGCGAGGTTGCATTACCGTAATCGAACCATGAGTTTTGGCTGAATATCGATTCCGCTTCGTGGAGCCTGGGTGGGAACAGAGCCTTTGCGTTCTTAACAAGCACCCAGCTGAAGGTGATGCTGCCAACCCTCCCTTGGAGTAGCAAAAAGTTAAATGCGATCAGAGTCCTACCGTTAGAAACCACCAGCCGCCCCCAGGAAGAAAAAGGGGGCTTTTATTCCTATAAGGAGTTACCGTCTCAGACACCCACAGGGCCATTCCACGCTGTGCTATAGGGTTGCTGTGAGTCAGAATCAGCTCAATGGCAGCTGGTTTGGTTTTGAGATGTGCTTGGTAAAGTACTCACTCCGGTTGGCACTGTAGCTTAGCCTCGGACTACTCACTGCAAAGTCGGCGGTTCAAACCCACCAGCTGTTCCAAGGACAAAAAATGAGGCTGTCTGCACCAGTGAACCTTCACATTCTTGAGAACCCTCTAGAGGGTGGCTGTGAGTCGGGATCAACTCGATGGCAGTCACAGTGAGTTTGGGGACCTAGGCCCCTGCTAAGGAACCCTGGTGGCCCAGTGGTTAAGGTCTCCGCTGCTAACTGAGAGGTGGTGCTTCAGGCCCAGCAGCAACGGCTGCGTGGGAGGGAGACAGGAGGGTCTGCTTCTGCAGAGATTACAGCCCAGGGATCCGACCGGGCAGTGGGCTCCATCCGCTGGGGACTCTGAATCCAACAGTGGGTTTGGGTTGGGCGTGGCCCTGATGCTGTGCTCCGTTCTGCCCAGCCATTGTTTCCAGTCTGTTGAAAGAGATTTATGTAGGTAGAAAGGCAATGACCTCTCGCAGGGTCAGAAGGGAACAGAAATGCAGTTGAGCAAGGCATTCCCACCAAGCCCGATGTCACAGCTGCCCTGGGGCACGTGGAGAAGGCTCCGCTTCTGACTGGCCGGCTGCCCCGTGAGGAGAGAAGGGTGTGGCATAGATGACCACCTTGGGGTCCCGGTGCAGCAGCCCTCTTGTGTCTCAGAGCATCTCTGAGTTGGAATCACAGGACAGCTGCGGGTTACGGGGTTGGTTGTGCATGGACAGGGGAGTTGGAAGTAGGGGTCTGTCCCTGGGCGTGATGATCGCCACCTCATGTCACCCCCATGCCGTTCCCATGGGGATTTCCTCATTCTTCTTCCATTCTTTGTCACTCTGTCGCTCTGTTGTCCGTCTGCTATCAGCAAGCCATTCCTCCGCTTCTCCCTGACGGGGACTCTGCATTGAACAGAACTCCTTAGGTGTGCGTCCGCCCACCCCAGGTCTGAGCACTGCTCAGAACAGAGTGAGGGGAGGGTCAGGAAGCGCCCTGATGCTCAGGGACAGGATTAGAGGCCACGCGGATGACTGGCTTGAGGGACAGCAGTGGGAGCCGGCTGGAAGACTAACTGTCCTCAGTGAAGGTCAGCACACGTCCAGAGAGTTGTCTCGAGAGATGCTTCAGACTCTGGGTACCAGCTTCCTCTCCCAAACTTGGACTCAGTGAAGCCCCTCGTGGTGAGGTGATGTCTTGCCGTTCAGCAGCCTCCGAGGCAGAGGAAGCCGGAGCCTGTGCACGTCTTGCTTTGTGGCCTGAACTGGGGTGGCGGGGCCATGTGCTGGTCCCTGTTGGCCTGCTTATTGGTCCACACCCAGCATCTGTGGCCTTGACGACTCTCATGGCTTCACATTGAATTCCGGACTCGCTGCTATCAAAGGCCAATGGTCCCCCTCTGCAAAAAAAACCAAAAACGCTACTGTCACCATGGCTGGTCTGTGCTGGGGGCTGGTGCTCCTGGCTGGGATGGATCATGCTGACCCAGGTGCGCACCCGAGCTTGACCTCCCTGTCAACAGTGCCGCTTGTCTTGGGTTTGCGAGGACCATGGGGCTGTGTGTGCTCTCGCGGGCATGATGGCTTCTAAAGCGAGTGGCCTTGGTGGAAATTGTATACCCATGAAACAAAGACTCTGGCACTGGTCTGGCTGTGCCAAGGAGGAGGTGGTCAGGGGTGACAGCCAGGAGACCCAGAGGCTGCTGTCCTTGCCTGATCACACCCATAGGCCATCCTGGGGGGGCCCTCAGACTTGCCCCGTGAGCTTTTTACCCCCTTTGATTCTGATTTGGCTGCCCTGAAAGGGGACCCAGGGGGCGTCTGGGAAGCACCCCGGGGATTCTCATGCCCAGAGAGGCTGAGGATCCGGGGACCCACTGATCGCGAGTCTAGCGAGCCCCTGCTTCGTCGCATGCAAACGTGCTTCCACGTGGCGTTTGAGGGAGGGCTCCAGGGCTGGCTTGTGACTTCACAGAATGGACAGCGCCGTCAAGTTGCTGACAACATAGGTTACTTCCCCTAAGAGAGCTACCACCTTCTCTCCCTCTTGCCGGCCCTGCAGCCTTTGCCCCTGAAGGCAGGGCGTGAGCAGAGTCCCCCGTGGAAAAGCTTTGCTCTGCTGCCTTGCCGGCCTTTGTGTGTGTGGTGGTGTTGGCGCTGCCTGGGACATTGCTGCCCTGCACCAGGCTAAGAGGCGATGGCAGGTCCCTGGCGGCAGACTTGGCTGTCTCACAAGTAGCCTACTCAGTTTCCTTGTCTGTGAGACTCTCCGGGGCTTTGGAAGGTGGTCTTGGCTACCGACCCTGTGAGCTGCCTTGCCTATTAGGCGCTGCACCCCCTGCGTCTTGGAAGGCGGACGGGGGAGAGGATGTGTGGAGCCCGCTGTGAGAGTCCCCTGGAGGGCTCCTGAGAAGCAGCCACCGCGAGTTTAGCAGCCTGAAAGCATCCCTCCGGATCTAAGTCTCGCCTGTTTGAATCTTCCAGCACACCAGGGTCTGGATCCCTGACCCTGAAGAAGTGTGGCGTGCGGCCGAGCTGACCAAGGACTACAAGGAGGGGGACAGGGTCCTCCAGCTCAAACTCGAAGATGACGCGGTGAGTCCTGGTCACAGGTGGACGTGTTGGGAAGGCGCTCCGAGTCTGCTGGGCTGGGTTTGGCTGGAGGCCATGGGCCTCGCTTCTCCCCGGGGTCAGC